GGCACGTCTCCTTTCGCGTCATCTTGGTACCAGGGCTGGGCACCAACCTCTCCTCCGTGACATTGGCGATGCCGAAAGGGGTGGCGACGTTGTTTCATCCGGACAACCCCAGGTTGGAGTCAGGGGACGTGTTTTTCCCAATGCAGACCCTCGGGGTGGACGCAACGACCGGAAAACGCATCTACTCCATCAAGGTAAGCTAGGGGGTGAACCTGAGGGCCCGACGGTCCTCGGAGACGCGCCTGATGCCCTCGCCTTGAAGGTGGAGTCCGCTGATCTCTGGCACCGGCGCATGGGTCACATCAACGGTAAGAACTTGGACGTTCTAAGGAAAGAACAGGTCAACGGCGTCGACTACACCGGAGACGTGAAGTACTGTAGTGTCTGCCCGCTCGGAAAGAGCGCACAACAACCTCACCCAAAGCAGGCCACCTACGGCGTCCTGCGCCCCTTCCAGCACGACACCCTTGGCCCCTTCGCACCTACGGCGTTGGGCGGATCCAAGTACGCCACCAAGTTTGTGGACCAGCAGACCAAGTGGGCGGAGATAGTTCTCATGAAGGACGAGACCTGTTCTGTAGACTCCCTCGCGTTGTTCAATAAAGGGACCGTGGTTCCTACCGGAGAACGCATTCATTGCCTCCGTGGGGATCAGGGCACAGAATTCACGAGTGCGGAATTCCGTCAGTACTGTCAAGACATCGGCATCAAGCTGGAGTTCGCCTCTCCGAACATCCCTCAGCAGATCGGAGCCAACGAGCGTGCGGGTCGGACGATTTTGAATGTCGTGCGCTGTCTGCTCGCTGACTCAACTCTACCGAACTTCCTTTGGGGGGAGCTGATCCAGACGGCAGTCTACCTGAGCAACCGGGTTCCTCATGCAGCCCTGCAAAACGGGACGCCGTACAAGGCGCTCTACGGCAAGGATGCCTACCTTGGTCACCTTCGGGTGATAGGGTCAAGGGCGTTCGTGCACGAAGAAACCCACACCAGGAAGCTGGAGCACCGTGCTTGGGAAGGACGCCTTGTCGGATACAGCATGGACAGCAAGTCGTATCGGATCTACAACTCTGAGACGCGACGTGTACGGGTGAGTCGAAATGTTGTCTTCATTGAGACACCTCCCGTTGCGCCTGCGTTGGATGAGTTTGGCTTCGACGACAGGGAGTTCACGTACGACACCCACGACGACATGGTAAGAGACGTGCGAAACTACACTTTCAACCACTCAATTGATTCGCTTCCTCCTGATCATGACGTCGGGGACATACCTGTGATTGAGCTTCTCGAACAAATCCATGAGACAACCAACCGTGACCTTGGGGTTAGTTCTGCAGGAACTCCTCCCACCGACGACGCGCCTAGGACTTCTGGTGGTACACCTACGGGAGGTAGCCCTGCCTCGCCTGGGGGAGTAAACCCCCATCAAACGGATGACGGTGCGTCTCCTCCTAGTACGTCACCTGGTCCTACGCCGCAAGGTTCATCGCCTTCTGGTCCTGCTCCGTCTAGTGCTGTACCGCGGGGTGGATCTGCGCGTGGGCGCGGTTTGTCTCGTGGTGGCCGAGGTGCTCGTGGTGGATCTTCGTGAGGAGGATCGGCGCGGGGAGGCATCACGCCGCGTGGAGGTCGCGGCTCGACAAGTGGAAGTGGTTCTCGTGGTGGACGAGGGTCCACGTCGGCACTTGCTGTCACCAGGTCGACTTCGCGCATGCCCAGCGCAGAGACCATCCGCGAACTCCGTCGTATCTCCTACGCATTTACCGCGAAAGGGGAGTTCCCTGACGTCGCTCATAGGGACGGTTCCTTTGGTTTCACGGAACACGCGTACGCTATGGGGGCATCCCAGCCGGATGTTCCACGTACGATTGAAGAGGCAAGGGCCATGCCGGACGGAGAACAGTGGAACGCAGCTGCAGAGCGCGAGATTGCGAGTCTCAAGGAACGTCAAGTTTACAAGCTTGTCCCGCGCACGGCAGTTCCCCCAGGGAGGAAGCGGATAAAGTCCAAATGGGTGTTCAAGCGTAAGGCAGGCGGCTCCTTCAAGGGGCGTCTAGTGGCGCAAGGCTGGAACCAAGTGCCTGGACTGGACTGCGGCAATACCTACGCTCCTGTGTGCAGGTTCCAGAGCATTCGGATGTTAGCGTGCATAGCCGTGCAGTTCAACCTGGAGTTGGATCAAATGGACGTGTCCACAGCCTTCCTCTACGCTGACATCCTCGAGAACGTGTTCGTCGAACAGCCACCTGGCTTCGAGGTCAAGGACAAGGATGGAGGTGATCTAGTGATGCAGCTACAGAAGAGCCTCTACGGGCTGGCCCAAAGCCCCAGCAACTGGTTCCACACCATCGACCCTTTCCTTGTTGAGATAGGTTTCGTTCCGCTCAAGTCTGACACTTGCGTCTATCTGTACGACCACGACGATGTTCAAGTCTACCTGACGCTCTACGTTGACGATCTCCTTCTAGCCGGTAACAACTCCAGGGCCATCTCGATGATCAAAAAGAAGTTGACACAAAGGTTCAAGATGACAGACATGGGAGAGGTGAAGCTTGTCTTGGGCATGGAAATAAAGAGGGACCGCAACCAAGGTACCCTGACGATTTCCCAGGAAGCGTACAGCAAGTCCATCTTAGAGAGATTCGGGATGTCGGAATGCAAACCGACCAGCACGCCTGGTTATGGTTCGGAGCTCTCCAACAAGCAACCAGAGGACACTCTGCTAAGCGAGGAGGAAACCAGACGTTATCAGGGCATCGTGGGGTGCCTGATTTACATCGCTCAAGTGCTCCGCTACGACATCATGTACGCTACGGGCCAACTGACCCGCCCAATGGCGAAACCCAGCAAGATCCACATGGTGGCAGCTAAACACACTCTTCGCTATGTGGCCGGAACAACAGATTTTAGAATCACATATGGTCCGTTCGGGCAAATATTCAAAATATTTTCCCCTGCACAAAGGTGCACTTTTCTCGGGGTGGGGGTACTTATTCCGAAATCTGAAAATACCGCGTAAATCGACGTTTCAAGGCGCATCTTCGTACGGAGATTTTTTTTTTTTCGTCCTTCGCTCGATATGTTCAGATATTCAAGAAATCTTGCTTACTTTCTGGAGGGCGGTGTTCTTTGCAGACACAAAATCTGAGACCGGATTTGGACAGCTCTCTCTCTCGTGATTTGCCACCGATGATTTTTTTCCGATTTCCAATTTGACAAAAAATAACGGAGTTATGGGCAAAAAAACGGATATTGGAGGGTATTTTGCTTAGTTTCTTGGGGACAATCCAACCGTACGATTCAAACATATAGTGCTGCAATCGATTCCTCTCGGGATTTCCCACCGATGATTTTTTTCCGATTTCAAAAAAAAACTCGGGTTTCGGAGATATTTC